AGGAAAAATATCTAAACTCTTTGGTCATTTTTGAGCGAGATGCTAACGGTCTAATCAGATTCAATGATCTATGCTAAGCTACAGCTAAAAGTGCTACCGCCAGACCTGGAGATTGGCTGAATGGATTCGAAAACGGTAAAACTCAACTGTTTAACTCTAGGGGAGTTGGAAAATGAGCCTATTTTCAAAAATACTGGAGTGTTCCTTTAAGGATGTTTAGATATTTGTATTGGAAACCAGGTAAAAAAAATACTGAGGATGATATTTATTCTTTCGCAATGTATGCTACATTTAATGCCATGACTTTATGAATTTAAAACTGCTCTGAATTAAGACCTCTTTAGGCCTTGATTTGTTGAAGGGTGAATTAAGACCCACAGAAATCTCTTGTACATTCTGGCTTAAACCTTACTTCTGTGTATTCCAGGGAGGACACACTGCTGTGGATTGTGGGCGTGTTGTTACTCCTGTTCTGCAGTCTGGATGTGTGGTATTACTTGCGGGTAGTGCTTGTGCTGGTCAGGGCCTGGTTCCTCTCACCTGTATTTGACATCACAGCAGAGCAGACCGCTAGCGGACGAGTCGTTCTCCATGACGTTGACCTTTGCCACATGAACAATGCACGCTACCTACGCGAGTGTGACTTTGCCCGTTTCTCTTTGTACACTCGCAATGGGGTATTCAAGGCTTTAAGAGCTCTAGGGGCCACCATGGTCGTTGGGGCATCTACCATCCGCTATAGACGGCCGCTGTGTGTCGGTGAGGCGTTTGAGATTCGCAGTCGAATCATTACCTGGGATGAGAAGTCATTTTACCTGGAGCAGCGGTTTGTGTCTCGTAAAGATGGGATGGTGTCGGCTGTTATGTTCTGCAAACAGAATGTCCTGCGCAGCAGTCCGGACAAGATCCTGCAATACCTGTGCAAGAGAAAGGTGAGCAGCTGTGATAGATTTACTAACACTTTTAACTCTGGTGGTCTTTTGTCATTGTAGACTGTTTTTAATTTTTACATTTGTGAACTTTATTGGAATGGTACGAAACCTTTGACATTTGTGGCACTTGCTATATAAACACACAACAAATTGTGGACATGATTCGTGACTATGAAAGTCTGTTCATAAACACAGAATTGCGTGATTCACAAATCTGAGAAAAAATTCTGAATTGCAAGATATAATGCTGAGAATTCAGATTTTTTTTCTTGCAATTCAGAGTTTAAATCTCACAATTTACATCCTGCTGGAATTAAAAAATAAAAATGGTAATTGCAACTTCTTTTTATCTCACATATCTGATTTTATTTTTATTTTTTTGCAGTTGCAAGTTCTCAGAATTGCGAGTTTATATCTTGCAATTTTTCATTTATATATATATATATATATATATAACATTTTTTTTTTTTTCAGAATTGCCAGAAAAATGTCAGAATTGTGAGATAAAAAGTCACAATTACTTTCTTAAATATTTTATTCTGTAGCAGAAAAGAGCTTCCATAAGTCGACTTAAAAAATGTGAAAATACAGAGCAATTTTTTGGTGTACAATCTACAAATCAGACTCAATGAAGTTGTCTTTGATCATCTCTAAATATATGTCCAAATGCAGCTTAATAAAAGTAATTAATTATGTCTGAAAAGATTCTTATAAGCAGATAGGGAACATACAGCCCTATATAAACATTGTATTAGTTATTAATAATATTATTATTAGCTTTTTCTAATATTTTCATTATTTTATGTAGAAATAATAGTTCACAACAAAAATTTTATCATTTTACATGTTGTTCCAATCGAATATTAATTCCCTTTTTTTTTTTCAAAACACTGAAGCCTGACATTTATGAACTGATTTTCTAGGTTGAAGTGCCAGAATTTCCTGAAGACCTGCAGCACTGGATCAGTTTCATCTCAGCCAGCAGTAAAGCCCTCAGGGGAGAAAGTCAGCTCGATGATAAAAAGAACGAATGACGGCTCACTGCCTTAAATTATCTCTCAAACACTGGTTTACAAACACAAGAACATACTGATGCACATACATGAATGTCTCAGGTGTTTGCATACTCCAGTTCAAAATAAAACTGTGAGTTCTGCTGTAATCTAGAAGCCTGATTCATGATGCATTATGATTGTGAATATGTAGAAATACTTTCTTAAAAACAATGGATGAACAAAAGAGAAAATAATATTTTCTGGTGTAATACTGCCACTGACTGGACTGGAGTGTGAAGCATTACTACAAAGGGAAACAAAACAATAATAATAAATAAATAAATAATAAAAATTAAATAACTAAAAAACTGTCACTTATGCAGTATGTGTAATTTAAATTCTATTTTCTGTTATTCTGAGACAAATATTTCTCTTTTTATTTTTGACTGTCCGAATGCACAGATCTAAAGATTTGGTAGATTGAAATTGATTAAATTATATATTTCAATTTCTTTAATAACTTCTATTCAAAATAATATGTTACTGCTTAAATGGCATTCAAAACATGAATATCCAATGAATTTGAAACAATTACAACATATCTAAGCAGCAGCAAAGACGTATAAATAATATTTTGTCTTGGAAACGATGATGGCGTCACGCCGCTCGTCTGGCGGGCTGTTGACGTAGTCACGTGACCACGTTAAACCAATCAGAGCGCAGTTTCTGTCTGTGCGGAAGTGCGTGAAGCCGGTTTTTCGGGTGTCAATCGCGTGAGTAGCAAGAATACCTCATTTGACAAGATTATGATTATGAACACTAATAAATGCACGTCGTTTATCAATTTACATGTATTAAAACTCAAACCGGTCTACTTGGGATAGGTGTCGTTGCACGGCCTTGTCTGATCTATAAGTGAGATCAGATATTTAATCGAAATGTTGATTTTTGATTCATTTCCGATATGAATGAATGATGTGACATACAGCGATCTTTAAATAAACATTTATAATTTTCCAAAAAGATGCAATAATGTCCTGCGTGCTGTTTTGTAGCCGGGTCACTGCTGTTAATACCGTAGAAACTCGATAAACCCAGTTCTGTGTCTCCACGTGATCGTGACGAATTATTCATGATGTGCATAATTAATCATCTTCACTGTGTGACAGAATCATGCTGCTGTGGATTCTGTCCGGCTCTCTGGTTCTGTTCAGCAGTTTTGACGTCTGGTACTTTCTGAGAGGCTCGTGGATGGTGATCAAGTCCTGGTTCCAGGGGCCGGTTCGAGATGTTCTGGCGGAGCAGGTGGTTCACGGACGGGTTCTCCTTCACGACCTGGACTTTATGTGTCACATGAATAACGCCCGCTATCTGCGCGAGTGCGACTTCGCCCGGTACGCGCACTGCACCCGGAACGGGCTCTTCCTGGCCGCACGCGCGCTCGACGCCACCATGCTGGTCGGAGCCACGACCATCCGCTACAGACGCTCGCTGGCGCTCGGCGAGGCGTTCGAGCTGCGCACCCGGATCGTGGCGTGGGATGAGAAGTCCTTCTACCTGGAGCAGAGGTTCGTGTCCAAGTCAGACGGGTTCGTTTCTGCTGTCATGCTGTGCAGGCAGAATGTTATTCGCGGAAATCCACAGAAGATCTTGGAACACCTTTGCAAGAGGAAGGTATGCATTTATTTATCGAAACTTTTAAAAGCCATGGACGCCATCCTTGTGCAAGAGACCCCTCTCCTAAAATATGGTATTGTAGTGTTAGATATTTGTTTGTTTGTTTTTATTTATTTATTTTATTTAAATGCATGTTATTTTGCCTGTATTTTATTTATTGTAATCAAATGTATCTTTTTATTTATTTCGTTTTATTTGTATTATAATTATTTATTTGTAAAAAAAATTGGGACCCCCAGATATTCTCATTCTCATGCCTGGGACCCCCATCCTAAAATTTAAAAGGCAGTTATATATTTTCATGTATAAAGATCCAATTTATACAGTGAAAAATTAATATTAAAAATAAAATGTGTAAAATATTAGTTTGAAAATATCTAATTGGATCTAGTTTTTTTCTACTCACTGTAGTACTGTACTATTAGATATTAGATATAAGTATTATTTATTTATTTTTTAATTATTTAAATAATACAATTATTAGCTTTCATTTATTAATTTTAATAAAATGTATTTCTTTATTTTGTTTAATTTTATATTTTTTAATTTTATTTATTTTTTATTACTTTTTTGGATCCACAAATATGTTCATCCTGAAATTTAAAAGGCAGTTATATATATTTTTCATGTATAAAGACACAATTTACACAGTGAAAAAATAATATTATAAATATATTTAAAATATAATATGCTACATTATTATATTCTTCTCACTAAAATACTGTACTGTTTGTTGTATTATTTATTTAAATTAAATGCGTATTATTTTAACATTTTAATTTAATTATGCATATGTACTTATTTATCTAGTTTATTATTAGTAGCAGTATTACTGTTACTATTATTATTAATTAATTAAGTAGTTATTTTTTGACCTTCTGAAGACCCAATTAATAAAATGAAAAATGTATATTATAAATATATGTAAAATATTATTTGGAAAATATCTAGTTTCTATTACATTACTATTTTTTTCTACCTAGTGTAGTACTGTACTGTTGGGTATATTTATTTATTTATTTTAATAAAATGTATTCATTTCAGTTTAATTTTTTTAATTTTTTTCAGTTTAGTTCTTCTTATGTATTATTAATTACATTTACATTTAGTCATTTAGCTGACGCTTTTATCCAAAGCGACTTACAAATGAGGACAATGGAAGCAATCAAAATTAATTAATCAATTAATTTTTTCACTGTTTTTCTCTAAAAAAATTTCCACGGACTCCTTTGCTGCCCCCTGTGGGTCCCCAGACCCCAGTTTGAAAACCCCCACACTGTGTGTGCCCTAACATACAGTACCATGGTAATACTGTGCTTTTTGGACATATATCATGGTAATACCATGACACTCCTTGGCTTACCATGAATATGGCACTCATTTCAAGACTTTTTGGTAATACCATATTGTTAGACACGTAACATTGTTAATACCGTGGTTTTCTTAGAAGTATGTTCCTGCTGGACTAACATACAATATATCCCATGTGTCTCTATAATTTGAAGGTGGATTGCCCTGAGATTTCAGAGGATCTTCAGCACTGGATTAGATTTATCTCTGCCAGCAGCCAGGCTCTGAGAGCAGAGAGTGGACTGGACGACAAGACCAAATGATAAATTCAAAGACTCTTACCGTAAGCCTTCCTTCTGCATGTAAGTTTCCCGTGATGCTAACCTTAACTTATCTCTAAATGTCGGTTTCAAAGTTACAAAAGGGTTTTCTGATCCAGAACCTGCGGCTGTTGGCAGCTTCAGTGTTTACTCCTCTACACCAGCCCTTCATGTATTTATTTAAAAGTATTACAACATCATTATTGTACTTACAAAGTCCATTCCAGAAGCTGCAAGAAATGTGACTGACAAACCATAGAGCATGAATCTCTGTTGAGAAACAGAGCGCATGAACGAAGGTTGAAAACTTGACTCCGTTGACTTGAACACTAGGGGCTTTTCAATGCTCCTATGACCAAATACGCACATGAACGTAACAAAAATCACGTCGAAGGCATTTGCACTGAGTATTTTAATATTATAAATGGTAGATGAGTTCTGAGCAGTGAATTGGAACAAGTGTGTTGTTTTATCATATCAAAACGGGATTTGTTGTGCTGGTCTGAAATGTTAATGTAGTTATTTATTCCACTTTAAAACTGAAATGGTTTTATTATTGTTATTTATGAAAAGGGAACATGTATTTATTAAAGTACATTTTTCTGAGATTTGCATAATTTCTTTGAGAAGAGTCTGTATGTAATTTAAGCACCTGTAATGAAACGTGAAGACTTGCGTTATAAAATAAAATACTGCATTATAAATAATGTCTGTATGTTTCTGAGTTATTAGAAGCATTAGTTTATAAACAGTGTTCATGCATCATGTGAGAGCGGCAATACTGCCATCTAGTGTGAAAACACTGACATATCCCACTCTTACATTGGAAAGTTGAATTAAAAATGTACACGGATTGCAGAAGGGAATTATATTTGGTTTGTCCCCGGTATGAATCAGTGGCATGCTCATGTTCTCCAGCATGATTTGAGATGTTCAAATCTGAAAATCTGACAAATTCTGTACAAGTGTCACTGATTTACCCTACTTATATCTGACTAAACATATTTGGACTATCAAAATATTTTGTATTCGTTTTACAACAATAATTTGAATTAATTTGCATTTATTTAACTTGTGAAGTAATATAGACTTACATTTTATAAATGTAATTTACATTTTTTTTTTTTTAATGTTATTTCTTTTTATTATTATTTATTTATGTGCTGATTTTGGGGTGACATATGACCTAGAGTCATTTTTTGTGAGCTGCACAAATTCTTGCCAGAACACTTAACAATGCACCGAGTTTAACACTGCAGGCAGCTCCGTGTTTTCTGACATGCGCAGTTGTTGTGCAGAGCAGCTCTTCAGCCCCTCCCCCTCCTGTCAGACTCGGTGGTCACATGACTCACTTGAGATGTTCAAATCTGAAAATCTGACAAATTCTGTACAAGTGTCACTGATTTACCCTACTTATATCTGACTAAACATATTTGGACTATCAAAATATTTTGTATTCGTTTTACAATTTTTTAAATTTAGTTATTTAGTTATTTATTTCCAAAATGTAAAAAACAAAAAAAACAAAAATGTTAGTTTAAAATAGTTTAAAATAGATTTTGAGTTCTATGGTTTTGTGTGGACTGTGGATATTAAATAAGAAAATATCAACTCTTTAATCTTTGGTTCTAAAAGCAGACAAAATATTTCTAAAATATTTAAATATTTATAAACTTTGTATCATATATATATATATATATATATATGCATTTATTTAACTTGTGAAGTAATATAGACTTACATTTTATAAATGTAATTTACATTTTTTTTTTTTTAATGTTATTTCTTTTTATTATTATTTATTTATGTGCTGATTTTGGGGTGACATATGACCTAGAGTCATTTTTTGTGAGCTGCACAAATTCTTGCCAGAACACTTAACAATGCACCGAGTTTAACACTGCAGGCAGCTCCGTGTTTTCTGACATGCGCAGTTGTTGTGCAGAGCAGCTCTTCAGCCCCTCCCCCTCCTGTCAGACTCGGTGGTCACATGACTCACTTCCTGCATAAACAAAGCTTGCCTGGGCTTCATTCTGCCACTGGGTTGGACGGCAAGATTCATTTTAAAATGGCGCAAGCTGGGGTTTTCCTGGAGCACGACCAGTTCAACTGTTCCATATGTCTGGATGTCTTAAAGGACCCTGTGACTATTCCATGTGGACACAGTTATTGTAAAGGCTGCATTAAAGGCTACTGGGACCAGGACGACTGTCTGGGGAGTTATGGCTGTCCTCAGTGCAGGCAGAGCTTCGCTCCCAGACCTGTGCTGGGCAGGAACACAATGCTGGCAGATGTGGTGGAGAAACTGAAGAAGACAGAGCTGCATGCTGGACCGACAGCGTCTGATCCGACCCAAGCCGAACCCGGGGATGTGGAGTGTGATGTTTGCTCTGGGATGAAAAACAAAGCCTTTAAATCCTGCCTGGTCTGTCTGGTGTCTTACTGCGAGACCCACCTTCAACCCCACTACGAGTCTCCTGCCTTTCAGAAACACAGGCTGGTCTCTCCTTCAAAGAAGATACAAGAACAGCTCTGCTCTCGCCACGAGAAACTCCTGGAGGTGTTTTGCCGCACAGATCAGCAGTGTATTTGTTATCTTTGTTTAACGGACGAACACAAAGGACATGACACTGCTCTAGCTACAACAGTAATGAATGAGAAAAGGGTAATGTTGTAGACCGTTTCTAGAGTGTGCGTTTTGTGAGTCAGTAGAAATATGGCATGTTATGTAACCTGTGTTTGTCTTCCCAGAATGCTCTGGTGGAGATGCAGAGGATTTCCCAGCAGAGGATTCAGGAGAAAGAGAAGGAGCTGGTCGACCTGAGAGAGGCTACACAGATACTCACTGTGAGTGTGACACGTGTGTGTGTGTGTGTGTGTGTTTCCTTCCTTGTTCTGAAGTTTAGAACAAGGTCGGTCAGTATCAAATCTTGTAAACCTTTAGCTTTTCAATAATAGCTTATTTATTGGGGGCAAAAACCACAGCTACCTAGTTCATTTTACATGTTAAATTATATTTCTATTGCAATATATTTCTTTTTGTTTTTTAAACAAATTAATACTTTTATTTACCAAGAATCCATTAAATTGACATCTATAAAAAAGACATCTATAATGTTACAAAAGATTTGTATTTCAAATAAATGCTGTTCTTTGAACTTTCTGTTCATCAAAGAGTCCTGAAAAAATCTATCATGGTTTCCACAAAAATATAAATAATAAGCTTTCTTGAGCAGCAAATCTGCATATTTGAATGATTTCTGAAGGATCACGTGACACTGAAGACTGGAGTAATGATGCTGAAAATTCAGCTTTACATCACAGGAATAAATTACATTTTAAAATATATTACAGTAGAAAACAGGTATTTTAAATCGTAATAATATTTAACAGGATTAACTTTTTATTCAAATAAATGTGAACATATATATGATAAAAAGATGGCAAAATCTAGAAAAAAAAAACATTACTTTTCACAAAAGGTGCACACTTCTCTTTTAAAACTCTTGCTAATAATTGAAATCACAGCTGCCAATATCGCGAATAAAATAGGCCATCTTCAATAAAATAACCAACGTTTAAAGTAAAAAAAAAAAAAAAAACTTTTTTAAAATAAATTTCTATAAGATAACCAAAGTCCTTGTCACGTTTATATGTAATGGACCTCTGCAGTCAAGACCTACACCAAAACCACATCTCCTAGACCTAGATTAGACTGACTGTCCCTGACCAAGGTCTCAGTTATACAGCATGGTCTCAAGGCTAAGGCTGTATAAAGATTTCTGAATAGACCAGTTTGGAGTAGACGTCACAGTTACGTCACTTGCAGCTGCACGGGGAACAAGAGGAGGGAAACGGGTAAAATCCATGGAATAAGAGAAAAAATGTATTGTTGTGCCTTTGGATGTCAGAATCGGAATGCAAATCATTTTTATATAACACTGTCGTCAAAGACACCATTTGAAGCTAAACGCAGACGTTTAAACGGACAGACTATGGATGAAACCTGCTATGATTACCCTACTTTTAAAGCATACATTTGATTTAAACAATAGGTCTATATAATATTCATATAGGGGACATATTGTATTAGCCCTACAGTTGAAATACATGCATGAAATACTATTTAAACCTATAACATTTTACATAACATTTACCTATTTTATCTCACAATTCTGACTTTTTTTTTCTTGCTAATGCAAGTTTATATCTCCTAGTTCGGACTTGATAACTTTATTCAAGTCAACAATTGCAAGTTTGTCAATTCTGAGGAAAAAAAGCCCAATCCCAGTGTGGGATTATAAACTAAAAAGAAAGAATGACGAGTTGATTTTTTCTTACCAGAATTGTGAGATATAATCTCGGAATTGCAAGAAAAAAGTCAAAATTTTGAAATATAAACTCTAAATTACATTTTTATTATTTTATTCCGTGGCTTGAATAGACTGCTGCGTTAAAACCATAGACTGTATAAAAACATGGACGTAGTGTCCGTGACGTCACCCGTAGGTTCCTGAAGAGGTTTTTGAAGCTCAAAGTGGGCAGAGACGGCCGTCGCCATCTTGGCAGCACGTCACCGCGCGTCACTCCCGGATAATCGTATAAAAAAATTCACCCCCCCTCACAGTTGTCATGAAGTGCAAAATTAGCTATATAGACCAAAATAATTTTTTGAACCAGGCTGTAAACATGTTTTTTTTCTGCTGTAAAGTTGGGCATTTTAACATGGGGAGTCTATGGGATTGACTCCCTTTTGCAGCCAGCCTCTAGCGGCCAGTTGATGAATTACAGTTTAAGTCACTTCCTTGTTGGCATCACGAGAGAGAGCGGGAGGTTGCCGCTTGGTTAAAACTGTCATTTTCTGCCAGCAGATAGGCTCCGCCCACAAAAACGTCATCACTGTTTGCAAACACTGAAATTGGTCTATAGCTGTTTTTCACTTTAGTTTCAGTGAATGCTCTGCTTGGATTGAGTTCTGAAAGTTTGAGCACGTCTGCATAGTACATCAAACTCCTACTTCAAAAGAGCAATCAAAATCCTGTTTTCCGCTGCATGACCTCTTCAAAGCCGAAGCCATGCTTTTATCATTCCGCTTTTGTCTCCTCTCAGCTCTCCGCACAGACGGCCCTCGAGGAGAGCGAGCGCATCTTCACAGAGCTGGTGTGCTCCATAGAGCGCCGGCGCGCTGAAGTGACGGAGCTGATCCGGGGTCAGGAGAGGGCGGCAGTGAGCCAAACTGAAGCACTCCTTCAACAACTGGAGCAGGAGATAACAGAGCTGAAGAAAAGACATGCTGAATTAGGAGAGCTCTCGCAGACCGAGGACCATATCGCCTTCCTTCAGGTAATGCTGCTGGTCGTTCACAAATTGCTTGTCTCTGGAGTATCCTGAGGTTAAGTGCCTTGTTTTGGTGATTTCAAATATCAACATTGGCTACCAGAAATCACTTACCCTGCCTTTAAGGACACAGTGGTGATTAGTTTATGAAGCACATTTTCTGCGTGTTTTGGCGAGCAGCCCATATCTTTGACCACTAAGAAGCATTCACTCCATTGTAAAATTTTATTGTTAGACTGTTCAGTTTCCACGTTTGTAGTAATAGTTCACCAAAAGATGAAAAGTGTCATTATTTCCTCACCTTCATGTTGTTTCAAACCTGTATGACTTTATTACTTGATGCACAAAAGAAAACGATCTTTTTGTAAAACACAAAAGATATTTTGCCAAATTTATGCACTGCTTTTTTTTAGATCAAGAAAGCATATAGCAACCAGAAAGAAAAAATGAGAGAAAAATATATTTTTTGTTGTTGTTGTTATTATTAATATTATTGCATAAACATAAAAAGCTCAGAAATGTAAAAAATAGTCAAAATTGTGTGATATAAATTCACAATTTTGAGAAAAAAAATCTAAATTGAGATATAACTCAAAATTGCGAAATATAAACTCAGAATCGCAAGAAATAAAATCAGCATTTCTGAGTTTGTTTTTGCAATAATATTAGTAATAATAACAAAAATCTTTTTCTATCACTTTTTCTTTCTGCTTGCTGCTACATGTTTTCTTGATATAAAAAACCTGTGCAGAAATTTAGCGAAATATCATCTTTTGTGTTTTACAAAAAGATCTTTTTCTTTTGTGCATCAAGAAATAAAGCCATTGTGTGTTTTAAACACAAAATTCTGAGGAAAAAACTCTGAACTACAAGATGTTAAATCAAAATTGCAAGTTATAAACTTAGATTTGCAAGAAATAAAGTCTGAATTGTGTGTTATAAACTCACAGTTCCGAGAAAAAAAGTCTTGAATTGCGAGATATGACTCAATATTGTGAGATTTAAACTCCGAATTAAGAGAAAGTCAGAATTGTGAATTATGAACTCATAATTGTCAGGAAGTTCCGAGAAAAAAAGTCTTGAATTGCGAGATATGACTCAATATTGTGAGATTTAAACTCCGAATTAAGAGACAAAGTCAGAATTGTGAATTATGAACTCATAATTGTCAGGGAAAAAAGTCTGAACTGTAAGATATTACCACAACATTGTGAGATATTAACTCAGAATTTCAAGGAATAAAGTCAGAGTTGTGTGTTTTGAACTCCGAACTACAAGATGTTAACTTAAAATTGCAAGTTATAAACTCAGATTTGCAAGAAATAAAGTCTGAATTGTGTGTTATGAGCTTGCAATTCTAAGAAAAAGATGGATTGGTCACATTTGACCTACATTTTTCCTGCAGATGTGAGCGTATGCTAAAGAAAGGCTTTTAGCAGACCTGAGATCTGAACCCACATTTGTCCTTTGGACCGTTTGGTCATCCTGCTCTTTATTGAGTTTCACATGGTGAACTTTTATTCAAAACATCAAAGGACTCCAAGAGAGACTCGGAATTGAGATTGCATCAGTTTGTGTTTTACTCTGCCTTTGTGAACTGAAACCAGTATCAGGAGTTGCATACCGTTTTTGATTGATTAAAGTTTCAAGTCAGACCACTGCCTACAGCTAACATACTTGCCATTTGATAATTCTGTCTTGTTCAGAACTGCAGGTCTCTGTGTGCTCAGCCTGTGCCTGTTGACTTGCCAAACATTACCTCTGACCCAAACTTTGGGAGCATGATGACGGCACTAACAGAGTTCCAGGCTCTCCTCGAGGACGTCTGCCAGGGAGCATTGGTCAATATCTCCGAGAAAGGTGAACAGACTTGCATTCTGAGACCTTTCAAGCCATTAAGGACTAAGTCAGCATTTCATTGTATTGTGAAATCACTCGGAGTACTTGGTCTAACCGTCCCGTTCTGGTTTGCAGTGAATGACGTTACTATTATTCAGAGCACCAAACCAAAGACAGATTCAGATTCTAATGCAGGTAGGAGTCCATCAAATTAAAAATGCATTAAATTAAGTCTAGCATGTACAAACCTAGGGAGCATTTTTGAACCACCATTTTTGGTTCCACGAAGAACCTTTCAGCGATCAGTTCTTAAAAGAGCCATTATTGTCTTAGTTTTTTGATATTTGTGATGCTGTTTTAGTTCACCAAAACAAGGTGTCATAATTGCCTACATTTTGCAGCCATTTAATCTCGAGCGCACTTACTGTACACTACCGTTCAAATGTTTTGGGTCTGTAATTTTTTTTTAAGTTTTTCAAATAAGTCTATTTTGCTCACCAAGGCTGCATTTCCTTGATCGAAAATACAGTAAAACTGGTAATTTAGTGAAATATTATTGCTGGTAATTTACTGTGTCGCCAAAAAAAAAAAAAAAAAAAAAGGATTGAATCATGCGTGTTTTACTTTAAAGTGTGACAATTGAACCCGAGACAATATCAATAATAGTTTTTAACATCTCTTTATTTTGGAAGCCCATTTCTGGCACATAAGTCTTGATAATTATAATCATAAGTTGAAGGTATGATTAAAAAAAATCATAATTATGACATTAACTATATTCAATTTTAAAACTTTTTATCTCATAATTATTAAACTGTATCTTATATTTAGAATTGCCGAAATTATAACTTGTCATGATTTTAACTGTCATAATTATGACTTAGTATTTCATGATTTGTCATAACTTTTCACAATTTTGACTTTTTATCTCATAATTATGACTTTAGAATTTCAGAATTTACTTAGTATTGAATATTTACATAGACTTTATAATTATAACTTTTGCTTTTTATGTCTGAAGATCTGACTCTCAATTTTGACTATCTCATAATTATGACTCATATTTTTGACAAATCATAATTATAACTTGTCATTTCAGCTTTTCATCATCATGATTATTTATTAAAGCATGTTTTTTTTTTCATTTTGTGGCAGAATTGGGTTTCCATACGTTCCTGATTGTTTAAGCAACAAAAGAATTTCCCAGAAACAATTATCTGAACATCTGGATCTGCACAGATTTACATAAAATCCTCATGAAAGGCTAAATCAATCTGCACAGGAAAAATAAATTCTCTGCCTGTAATTCTGAATGTGGGTTGTATAATCAGTCATGTGATATTTATAGTTGCTTTAGAGTAAACAAAACGGCTTTAGTGTAAATAAACTGGTTTAGTAAACTATCATTTAAAACATGGCAGTCATCTCTGTATAGATGTAAAATGTCTAAAACTTTATTTACTCAACTTATATGTAATACTTATGTTTAAATGCTTGAAGTTTTGGGGACAAATCTAAAGTTGTGAAGCTGGCCTTCATGCCAGTAACCACCAATTAAGTGCTGTGAAGAACAAACACAGTAGAAGTTTATTAAGAGTTACCATGCAATATAACCTGTGGCCTCAATCTTTTAAAAAAAATACTCTTCTGATTAATCATTGAAAATGATTCACAAACTCAAAGGATTTAACTATTTGAATCAACCTCACGAATCCTTCACTGAATGAACTCATCAGAACAGCTACTGAATCAACATATGACTCACTTACTGAACTATAAGATCCATGTTTACGCATCATTTAATATAAAAATGTTTTTATTTGCTGTACAACCAAGAAAGCACTTTTTATTAAATAATTGACTTACTATCTAATATTTTCATCTACATATATGCAGACATGTGAAGTTTGACTTTTTATCTCATACAGTAATTTTGACTTAGTATCTCATATTTTGACTTTTTATCTCATAATTATGACGGTGTCTCATAATTTAGACTTTTAATTTCATATTCTTCTATTCGTCTTCATATAGACTTTTTACATCGTAATGTCTTAAAGGCACAATGCTCGTTCAGCGGCCTCGTTTCGCTTCGACAGCTTTCAGCCTCACCCTGCTTCATTCTACTACCTTAACAAATCATTAGCTCATCCATGAACATGATTTCTGCCGGAGTCCCATCGGATTACTTCGGATGTGGGGATGAAGACGACAACTCCCATGACTCCACACTCAGTCAGGGTGTCATCAAACTACGCCTTTGTCTATTTGTTTATTTTGAATATGTGCCCTCTAGTGGCGAAAATTACATATTGTGCCTTTAACTTTTACTTATGATTTAGTACCTCATAATCCTTCACTAAATTAACTCACTGAATCCATCAGAACAGCTACTAATATACAAAAAAAATAATAATAATAATAATATAAAATGTTTCAATCAACATATGACTCATTTAATGAACTGCAAGTTCCATGTTATTAATACAGAAACATAAATGTTTTTATTTGCTCTACAACCAAGAAACCAAGATTTCCTTTTATCTGTAGATTATATCTCACCCTCATGTCTTTGTTCGCGTTTCTTCTTCTTTTATAGCTTACCTTAAGCCTTATAGCAATGCAATAAAATTGGTAAATGTAGCCAATTTAATACCATGACAAGGAAAATACCAAATGTTAACTAATAGACAACAAAAACTAAAAAGTTTAAAGAATAGATAATAGTTGAAACTTCGTGACTTTCGTGGCACTTGCTATGTGAACACAAAACAAATATGGGACATGACTGGAATAGGCAAAATGGTCTTAAAGGGGTCATATGAAAAAAAGCATCATATGACCCCTTTAAAATAAGTCACATTTGCAGTCTAAAAAGCCTGCCATATGAATATAAAATGTTTAAATAATGAGAAACAATAGCAATTTAAAGCAGAGACTTACCTTGTTCTTTTAGTGCTTAAAACTCACAATGTGTTTCTCAAAATGATGGAGCAGATCACATATCATATAGGAAGTAGCAGGTGCGTGATCTTGCTTTACATGCAACATACATTATTTGCATAAAAGCAAAAAAGTGACCTCCTGTTCTTGTTTGTGATTGGCTGCTCCAGGCCGTTTCGGCCTGAAACCCGATAAGCTTCTACTGTACCTGCATTATGGCCACTCCCAGTTTATACACAAACACTATTGTGTGGTTCTCTCTGTCCTGCCGAACCTGCCTTGGTGACCACCTTTCATTTCCCGCTCCTCTAACCAAACACATGTAGGAGAAAATGGCAGGAACGAATATCTCTGTGGATAAGGACCAGTTCTGTTGCTCAGTGTGCTTGGAAGTGCTGTGGGAGCCGGTCACGATTCCTTGCGGACACAGTTATTGCATGGAGTGCATTAAAGGTTACTGGAGGAAATGTGAATTGAAAGCGGAATTCAGCTGCCCTCAGTGCAGACGTACCTTTAGCCCCAGACCTGCGCTGTCTAGAAACACCATACTGGCTGATATCGTGGAGAAACTGAGGAGAACCGGCATTCAAGATGCTGGTGGGAAAGCAGCAGATGTCGAATGTGACGTTTGCACCGGGAAGAAACATCGAGCTGTTAGGTTCTGTGTGAAATGTCAGATGTTTTACTGCGAGATGCACCTGAAACCTCACAATGAAAGGAATCGTGGCAGGATGCATCCGCTTACTGAAGTTACAAAACAACTGCTGAAAAGAATCTGTTCACGTCACAATAAATTGCGGGATGTTTACTGTCGCACAGACCAACAAAGCATTTGTAGTTTGTGCTTCAAAGATGGACACAAGGGGCACAGCGTGGTGTCTGTGATGGAGGAGAGGATGGAAATACAGGTAACAAATACTGTAGAGAAATCTGTGAATTGCACAAAGTTGCACAAAATTCTCACATGCATGGTTTTCAAACAGAAACATCTTGAGGAAGCATGGAAAAAGTCAAAACTGAGGTGTAAGGAACGAGAAAAGGAACTCAGAGACATTGTAAAATACGTCAAGGTAGGTCTACTGTAATCGTGTAGAAAGCATCATGAAATGAGTTGAAATAAATAACAGATTTCTTATTTTTTTGGGTGGAACACATCTGTGATTCTGCTTTGCTAACTTTCTGGTGTTAGACTGAAAAATGTAGCGTCTTTAATTTTTACTTCAACAGAATGGTATAAAACTTTGCTACGCGAGCACAAAAAAACTATTGTACTTTACCGGAATAGGCTAAATAGTCTTAAAAAAAAGTCACACTTGTAAAATGACCACCATGAATGGGAAATATGAAAAATACAAAAAGAGAGCATATTTGTACAATCTAAAAATCAGTCATGATGCAAGGAAAAAAGCACACAGCTATGAAGGGGTTAAACTCTAAAACATCAAGAGTGCAAAAGAACTGGTGTGACTGTAACACGGAGTAAACTTTCGCAAATTTACACATCAAATCAGCATTTTATCAACACTGCGGCAAAAAGTAGTCATTGATCATGTATAAATACATATCCAAACGCAAAGCCTAATAAAACTCAATAATTAATTTACTTAATCAAAAAGTGATTTTGATATTCTGTTTTGGATATATATAAATATATAAATTTGGATACATATAAATTGCCTTTACACCCGAACAATAAAGACATTTTTAAGTTTTGTGTCTTACAGTGCACTGTAGATAAATATCACCTCATCCCGCGCCATTTTTGTTTTCTGTTGTATCAAGTAACCCGTTACGGTGTGAGAAACCGCTGCAAACGATTCAGTGTGTGAGAGAACGTTTTTGAATTAATCAAACCGAATCGCAAACAGACTTAGCAAACAAAGATTTATCCCTAATATACTGCACTTGCTAACCTTCTAGTTTTACCTTCAGGGCAGTGTTGCCAAGTCCGCGGTTTTCCCGCGGAATTGGGCTACTTTATCACTGTTGCCGCGGGTTGTTTTTCATGTCTGCAGGTTAAAGTGACCCCGATAATGTGATATTTATACCATGGAGTGTGAATTTTACCAGGGGAACCCCGCCAAAAACGTGTATTTTACCCCTGGAACGCGATTTTTAACGGGGAGCCCCCCTGGAAATGCCATTGGGCTAGTTTTGAGTAGCAATTGGCCTGGTTTTGTTGTGAAAACCTGGCCATCCTGCTTCAGGGGCTAATCAATCGGAAGTCCCGCACATTCACAGAAAATAGCTTCGCTAAATAAGGTGGATAGCCTCCGTTCATAGTATTTTAAATACATTTGCTCTATTTCTAACCTAAATATTGCATGCTTAAATTCTGGAAATAATAATGGAAATAAATACATTTTAGATGTAATAAATACATTTGAGATAAATAATGTTTAGTACCGTCAAAACACAAAATATTAATGAATTATTATAGTGTAAAAATATAGGACATTAATTTATGCCATATTCAG